GAAGATAATGACGATCTTTGGCCATATCTTCATAAACTGTTCAAGTTTAAATGCATTGTGAATAATTCTGTGTCCTTATATTGTCTGCTGTGTTTTGTTTCCAGACCTTCTGGCCCACAACATACATTTAGGGTTTGATGAGTGTACTTTTACTTTTGTTACTTGAGTACTTATTCAGCAGATACTTTTTACTCTAACTTGAGTAGATTTCAGGATGGATACTTGCACTTGAATAACATATTTTAGTAATTTTTACACCCCTCTGGTTAGCATTGTGTTGTACTATGGATCCCAGGTTCTATACTTCTGGTTCGTGCTCTGTTTTTGCCCAAACAAAAAAGAACATGCTCTGTCCTTTGAAGTCATAGGTGCATTATAAGAGTAACAGTCATGTCCCACTATTTGATTAGAGTCCCACTATTTGATTAGAGTTGTCTGAGTTGGCACTGGGTGGTGTTTACTAGCTCCATTTCCTCTGTCACTTCAAAATTAGGAATGGCTGGTGTAAATAACCTTCAATTAGCTTTGTGCAAAATTCAAAAAGCAAAAAATTAATGACTTGGATGGTTATATATGTCTAAATCTCAGTTTTTCTTTTATTATTTTCTGTTTTGGACTGGTCAGTATTGAACTGATATCATTATCATCGAGATAAAAGTGACAAATATTACATTAATTGGTATGAAGCTCTTTTAGTGTCATGTTTGTTTTTAGATATACACATAAACAATGACCTGAATCACTTAAATATTGCGTATTACTTGTCATATCAACATGAAATTATTTTTTAGAGTTAACTACCTGAAATAGTTTAAAGATGATTTGTCTCTTCAGTTTGGACTGAAAGAAGTACCAAGTAAGATAATTATTTGTGTATTTATTTCCAAAATTTGTAAATTAATGTGCAACATTTATAAATTTTTTAAATTGATTATAAAGTTATTGGTTTTATTGCAAATCTATTTCTATTTTGATGAAATCCTTTGACAGAATGACATTCAGTTCTATTCTTTCACTCTTTAGTGCTGAAAAACATTAATGTACAGATAACTGCATGTTTGATTATACTTGTGTGTTTTATAATATAAATTTTAACCATTTACAATATGCATTGTTTAGTTAGGTACATCTATATAATACATGATTTATATTGTTGATTGTAAACATGTGTGATGTTTATTGTTTAAGTCAGATACATGTATGTGTTACATAGTTTACTCCATCAACTGTAACCACATATGATGTGTATTGTTTTCCTAGATACAGTTTTCATTAATTTCATTATTAGAGGGTTTACTGATAGAATCATGCAATTCATTAGCAGTCAGAATGATATTACATCTTTTTTTCAATGGATTTGATTTGACAGCAAATTAAAATTGTATATCGAGGTCTCAGATCTATTTGAAGACATTGGGTGTTGCCACATGGAGGTCACCAATACCTCTCGAAAAGTGGCATTTAGGGCAAGAATTTATAACATGGTGAATTGTTTAGTCCACAATCACATGGGGTGTCTTTAATCTGCCATTTGTGTAGCTGGTAGCCTCACCTTGCTTGTCTGGTGCAGATCCAATTCAGGACCTCCAGTGTCTGACACTGGAGATCAAATCCTGGAACCTCTTTCGATGGGTCTCTGATAAGGTACAGGTTTGTAATGTCACTGTGGATCCATTAATCTGTTCAACAAGTTATGGGAGATTGACTCTGAGATAGAAGGTCAGCAAGGTTTGAGTCGGGTACAGGGAGGGTTCTGCAAGTCCTCATTGATTGGGATAGCAGGACTTGATTAAACATAAAAAAACGACTTCTACTTTTTCCAACAAATATACATTTGTACAATATTAAACCCTAATGTCATTTCCTTTCATGTAGGTCCTCATTTGTTCTATCCAAATACCTCTTTACGGCAGAAAAACGACTTCTTATAATATGGGTCTGATAATAAAAGTCCATTTATATGCCACACTTTCTTACATACTTTTTACTGATGTCTCCTTACCAGAATAAATCCCATTTCTCGGTAGTCATTACTGTAACCATAATATAAAACTGCACAATGGATAACACAGATAATAAAATATCTTGGTCACTGTCAAATCCATTGATCCACCATCAGTTCATTGTGATCAGAAGATTATTAAAAACTATGAGCAATTTATATCCTTCATCATCTCCACCGATACATTTATGCATGCTATGCATAATCTCCACCGATACATTTATGCATGCTAGACATTATCTCCACCGATACATTTATGCATGCTAGGCATAATCTCCACCTATACATTTATGTATGCTAGGCATAATCTCCACCTATACATTTATGCATGCTAGGCATAATCTCCACCTATACATTTATGCATGCTAGGCATAATCTTCACCGATACATTTATGCACACTAGGCATCATCTCCACCCATATATTTATGCACGCTAGGCATCATCTCCACCCATATATTTATGCATGCAAGGCATCATCTCCACCCATATATTTATGCGTGCTAGGCATCATCTCCACCCATATATTTATGCATGCTAGGCATCATCTCCACCTGTTTATTTATGCATGCTAGGCATCATCTCCACCCATATGTTTAGGTCAGTTAGGGTAATGAAAAAAAACCCTTCCATGGATGATAAAGGGTTAAAATGAAAAATACCAGTGATGTTATCCCAGTGTTGCAAAAACATTGTGGCTAAAAGTGGTCTTGAAAATATCATGACCAGCTACTGCAAGTTACTATGATTTCTTGGTCATAAAAAATAACATGCCTAGCTACTGCTGGTTATCATAATTTATTTTTGGCCTTGAAAAATATCATTCTTAGCTACTTCCAGCTAAAATAATTTCTTGGTCTTGAAAAGAGCATGCCAGGCTAATGCCAGCTAAAATCATTTCTTGATCGTGACAAATAGCATGCCCATCCATTGCCAGTTTTCATTAGTTCTTCAATATATTGTGTTTCTTGTCAAAATGTTGTACATTTGCTGTTATGTTAAACTTATATTAAAGTTTTTTTCATTACCCATTCAAGCCATCTCCAAGCATTATTAGTCTCAAAGTGGGTTCCTCATCATCAAATTTTAATAGCCAATACAAGAGCAACCAGTCTTCTATAAATAATTCAGCAAGCTTACATGCTCAGAAAGTTAATAACAAAGAACAAGATGTAAAATAAAACCTAATGAAAAATGTATTTTTCTTACAGGTCATAGTGTTGGTTCCACTTTGGATCTAGTGTGTTCTTGATGGTGTCTGTTGAGTGGCACTGACCTGATCCATCAACACTGACCTTGCAGAAAGGATCTGGAAGTCCTAACATACAACAACAAATGTATATACTTGTTAAAAAATTATATCATTATGCATTTGCCAGTTTCCTATGAAAAATAATAAAAGAAATTTTAATTCTTAAAAAGGAGGCATATCTGAAGCAGAATTAACAAGTTTCTACAAGATTTAACAAATACATATATTAAATATAATGTGTGTGTGGAGGGAACCATACTGACTATTTGAAGTCATCTTTACCTCTATTTTAAAAATCAATAAAATATTCTATTCACTGAACTGAAGAGGTCAAAAATATACTTCACAAATTAGAAATGTATTAAAAGTTTAGTTCGAGAAACCTAGCAAGTTTTTTAATGGCTTAAAATTAAGTTATTCTAAGTATACAATGACGAACCATATGTACTCAGGATTATACAGTAGGAGATGCTATTAAAGTAAATACTTGTGGTTTTGTCATCATCAGGTACAAGTAATTTACACTGACACGGATATATATATATACAGTATTGAATAAAGAAGTCACATGACCGGATCTGTTGCGAAACTTAGAAGAGGTATCTAGGCATCCCGGGGTGTTGGTTTAGAGTAGGGTTGTTTTGTTCAATTAAGATGGATTCCTTGATTTTTCGTTTGTTCATGTTTAAGCTTAAGACTATGTTTATATTAATCAAATCACTACAAGGATGATTCTGAACAATTAAACTTGTAACATATAATTACAAAGAATTAATAGTATCTCAGAACAACACAGTATCTCTTTAAAATTCTAACAAGAAACATTTGTTTGTTTTTAAATTTCACACAAAACTACTCGAGGGCTATTTGCAATAGCCCTCCATAATTTTAATGTAATAGGTTAGAGAGAAGGTGACCGACTGTCTCACTATGACACCCCCACGGCTGAAAGGGCGAGTATGTTTGGTGATGGGATTTGAACCCGTGACCTGCAGATTGTGAGTAGAGAACCCTAACCACCATGCATTACAAGAAACAATTAATAAACTAACAATTTTTTTTTATTATTCCTGTAAACTCCCAGTGGAGCATAGGGCCGTAACAACACCTCACCAACGGAAGGTGTTGTTGCAGTTTCTTGCAGCAGGTTGGTTTTTATGGGGTGGAGTTGCTAGCCCCGCACCCAACCCTCCTCCTTTCTCATCCTGGACTTTGGACCAGGCAAAGGCGGAGGTTGGCATGTTTGGTGTGACGGGGATTTTAAACCCGCGACCCTCAGATTATGAGTCGAGAATAAACCAACAATATGAAATAGTATTGTACAGATCTAGAGTATAACTCCAAAAATATTACCTGGAAAATTAACTATGTTTTTATAACAAAGGTAATTGTCTTCCTAAGTTAGTATCTAAGATCCAGGAAGCAAGGAAGAACAGTGATTCATATTTGTGTTTTTGCTCGTAAAGAAAACATCTTGTTTTTTAATAATAGGACAGTATGACAAATTTTGAATTTAAAGTCAGGATTGTGTAAGTAAAAACACAATGTTCAAATAATGTAATATATTGCCTACATCTCACTTATACATTTGATACATACTATCAAACATTGAATATTTAAGGAACAACATTATGGGCAATCAAACAAGTAATTGTACACACTCTTCGAAGGGTAAATATCACTGTATACAGGATGTCGATAGTAAACACATGCTATTGTTCAGAATCGGTCAGTATCACAGTTCTTACCTTGTCATTTTTAATGCATTTCAGAGCTGTTCTCATACTTTTCATAATACTTGTCATATTTGCCAATTCCAGTAGAATCTGCACATAAGCCTAAGAATGAACAATCTCTGCACCTCACATTTAGTGATTTAAATCCTAGAGAAAATGGGAAAGCAGATATATACTCATACAATAAATGTGTTAGTTCTGTTTTAACATGGTATACAAGCAAATTTCTAATATATTACATGCATGTTTAGTACCCCCTTTAAAAAAATTGACTTTATAATTATATAACAGCCTATCTTTTTTCTACTTCAAACAAAATTACCATTTAATATTTTGAGCCACGACTCATAGAATGACTCTGAGGTTTTTTTCAAATACAAACTTTTAGCTCATAGCTCCATCATCTCTTGACTGATTTGAGATCTAATTACAGTTCTGGACTCAGAAAATCAAACTATTTCAACCGATATATTTGACCATGCCCAAGGTCACATAGATTAATTTACTCTAATTTTGCCTAAAAGAATTTCAATTCGAGGGTAGGCTGGTAGAGATCCTGATGAGTAATAAAATCGAATCGGGTATTTGCACACCCCTTGCTTGGTATTGCTGATGCACAAAAATATAGCTAATAAAAAGTCTCATATATTAATTTACTAATAATTAATTTAATAGTTTTGTTAGTTGGAGGGAGCTGCAAGTTATTGATGATGTAATGATACCTTAAGTACACTGCCTAGAAAGTTCTAAGATTTGATGTCAATTTTTGTTTTAGTACAATATAAATATGAGATAGTTATGAAGACTATTATTTTTTGAGATAGCATGTGATTCTGTCAGTGTGTTTTTGTTACAGCCATGAAGTTACACAAGTAAGTTCAATATTTTACAATGGTCCTAGTCGTGTACAGAGTGATTTAAACATAAATTGTAACATTGGCCTACAACAATTTATGACAGTGTACAAGTGTTCAAGCTTGTAGAGACATTAAAGGAGTAAATAAACTAATCTGTAATTATTACTTGGACTGGGTCCTTAATTATTTTCACCAGATAATTTAAAAGATCATGTCACAACAATATACTAATAAGGTAACTTCAGAAAACCTCAAACAGCAACCGTAAATGCAAGGCTGAGAAAAGTATTGTTCATTTTATAAAAAATGGGGTATGTTTTGAAATGGTCTCTTGCAATTTTAAGCATTTTGAAAGATTAATGTAAGCTTCAAGTACTAGAAAATGGGGATCATTGAAAAAGTTCTTAATTCTTTATTTATTGCCTTAGACTTGCACCCATGCTATAAAATCTTTTAACAAATATTGTGACACTAATACTTAAATAAATTCTCATATTAGAAAATCACAGACTATATGTTATATCATTACATCACAAATGTTGTTTTCAGAAGTTATACTTGAAATAACACTCTTTACTAAAATTCTAAGTTTTTAGAAATTTTCATTTAAATTGATATTTCCAAACAAATAACTTCTCAATATTCTTATCCCCACAAGGAACTAATGCTTTTCTATTGCAAAGTTATATATACATATATCACAGAAAATCAGTTATTTACATTTTATCTATATATTTCAAAGGTTTACAATGAAGTTCAGGATAGTTTTTATGATTCTAAATAAATTCACATTCTTAAGCATGTCTAAATCAAAACTCATTGTGCAAGTTACTGTATGGCTTAAAACTCTGGTCTCTTGTTCCATAAGTTTTCTGAGCTACATAACAAAATTTGTAAAAAAAAAACACCAAGGCTTATAGTATAAAGTACCAGTTTAGTCTAATATAATAATACTAATAGTACTCTTACTTAAAATTTCAAGATATGATTGCAAGTTAAGCATAGAATTATACTCAGAGTTTAATTTTAAGCTTAAGTGTGCTTTTATTATTACATAGTGACCCGACATTGAAAATAATAGATATTTTACAGAAGTAATATATATTATTGTAGTCAAAGTTAAATTTTAAAAACTACAAACCTAAATTTAAAATCAAAGTACCATCTTCACGTTCTTCAAATCCTTATAGCAGCGCCCTCTCATACTACTAGATGCTATCTGTGACCTAGAATAGTTTATAACTAGAGAACGAGAGTATTTAATTACGTCAAAGTGTACAACACGGAAACTCGGAAATAGTTCATTTAGAGTTGTGACGTGCGAGGAAGTCATAGGCCTGTATGGTGAGTTATTTCGTGTGCATAAGCTACTGTTCTTATCCCAAATATGTTAGAACTTGGCTGAAAAAAGTAAATATGCAAAACAACAGTTTGCTACTACTTAAAAGCGATTTAACCTTTAAGTTTGGATTGGAGTGTCAAACTTTAGGAGCCAAATTTTGCATACTACTTGCTTTCAGTTTAATAGTTATTAGTGGTAATACTGTTTGAAATATTATAATTTATAGTATTAGTATTGAAACTTAGATTCATTATGGATACTCTGCCTAAACAACCTATCAAAGTATTAGTATTACTGCACTACTAGTACTACCATTACTAACAGTAACACTATATATATCTCGAATTTTTGGCAAACTTCTTCAACAAATTCAACTTCAATATTTAACTTGGACTTAGTTAACTATCGCCAGGATTGGAGTGATTATATTATATATATAATATAGCATATATATATATATATACATAAATGTTTACTTAAGTACAAAGCAATTATTTTATCTGGTTAATCTGAATTTGAGGACATGTTGTGCTATGTATAATTTATTGCTACGGGGTTTTAAAAATAATTTAGAAATAGAAAGCAACTTGGGGCTGTATGGGAAACTGTTGTAAACTTTAAGTTTAACTGTTAGTGTTAATTATAGTAGGCTAGGCAAGTGCAAGGAAGTCCACTTGTGTTAACATATCTTGGATCACATATTTAATAGATGAGAACTCACTTGCAAAGTTGCAGAAGAAAAGGATGTTCTTAGCAAGTGCCAGTAGATAAGTCACACAAGTCATCGTAACACTTAAGAACAACAAGGAGCTTCTTGGTCCATCATGGTTGTCCCATCCAGTAAATTAAACTAAAGAATAAAACACTGAAAAACAACCTTTGACATTTAAATATTATGCAAGCTTATTCTTAAATTTACTGTATGCACCACATCTGAAGGCAACCAATTCCAAAGGTTAGAAAAGTGAAACGGTCTTAGCTGAAGATGACTCTTACCCTACCAAAATTTATATTTGTATTCCCTAGTCCTACCATTCTCACGATTTGAATATGGAAGGGATAATGCTTCTGCACTATCATTTCCATTAACAATCATAAACACCTCAATCAGTTCCATTAACAGTCATAAACACCTCAATCAGTTCCATTAACAATAGTAAACACCTCAATCAGTTCCATTAACAATCATAAACACCTCAATCAGTTCCATTAACAATCATAAACACCTCAATCAGTTCCATTAACAATCATAAACACCTCAATCAGTTCCACTAACAATCTTGAACATCTCAATCAGATCCACTTTAACTGTTCTTTTTTCAAGAGAAAATAATTTTAGAGGTCTTAACCTATCCTCATACGAGAAATTTTCTGTCCCAGGTATTTTCCTAGGTGCCCGACTTTAAACTTTTTCCAACAATTCAGTGTCCTTCTTATGGAAAGAAACACAAGATTGAGTACTATACTCCAAATGAGGCATAACCAGTGACCAATACAATGAAATTATAACCTATTCAGTATTTTTCTAAACACAACCTGAACTGTCAAAAATAAAAAGTTGTTATAGTAAGGACATGGCAAATAAATGTTAATTTGTTATTTAGCACAGTTTTTCTCCATGAAACAGACTTACTATATGTCTGTAGAACAAATTTGGAATCGACTATTTGCTTGACAGTGTTTTAAGCAGATCTTTAAAGCTACTATTTGTTGACTATAGCAATTAAAATTTTAAAATAAATATCAAGTTATCATCACTCTATACTTGGGGGGGGGGGGGGTTGAAGTGTTAAAAGAATTGTTCATTTAATGGAAACTATAATTCTACCTGAGGAAGACCAAATTTGTAGTCGTTTTTTGTTTATTAAGTGGAGCAGTTATTAGATTATTGAGTAAAAAATTGTTTTTATTTCAATAACTGATATAATGAAATGTTAGGTTATGTACCCAGGTTTATTAGATTAATATTTGGTCTAATGAAACAGTATGTACCCAAGTTTTTAGATTAATATTTGGTCTAATGAAACGGTATATTATGTACCCAAGTTTTTAGATTAATATTTGATCTAATGAAACAGTATGTACCCAAGTTTTTAGATTAATTTTTGATCTAATGAAACGGTATATTATGTACCCAAGTTTTTAGACTAATACTTGATCTAATGAAATGGTATATTATGTACCCAAGTTTTTAAATTAATGTTTGATCTAATGAAATAGTACATTATGTAACCAGGTTTATTTGATTAATATTTAGTCTAATGAAGTAATATGTTTCTTTTTTATTTTCCAGAATAAAAATGTTCTTGTTTGATTGGATGACAAATATTCTGAATTTCCTAGGTAAGTTTTCATTTATATTTCCTTTCAGAAAGTAGTTTAGTTTTTGGGTTTATCAAATATTGATTTGTTTATAATAACCATTTGTTCAGTTTACGTGTAGGAAACTTTATACTTGGCACTGCACTTAACTTGTATTCTCAGGACAGAGTTACGAATCATGTTTAAGTGTACATGGTACAGTTATTCAGTGTTTTTGCACATAAACAAGTTATGTTTGACTGGAGATCGTGGTGTTACTCGTTACCTTAGTATCCTAAGCAATGCTAGATTACTTTCTTGTATTTTGTGTAGCTGTTCTGTGTCTTTTCAAGCATAGGATTTTCCTCAATCTTCTCTTTAAAATGAAGCTATTATAGTTTATGATATAATACGTGTAGAAGTGTTAATGGTATCTAAAGTTTTCCAATTTTTATCCTTTTCAAATCTGGATTTCCTGTTGAATAAGTAACAGATGGGTGTAAAATAATCTGGCTTCTAATAAATAATTTCATTATTGTGAAGCTGTTTCAATGGTTTTGAAATGTTGCGTCTTGTAGTATATTATTTTTTTAGTAGTGCTGTCTGATAATCACTTAATTCCAATACATCACCGTTTATACTTGCATGCATGTTACAGTGTAGCCCCGTTACAACGTGATCGTTGAGGTCCATAAAATGTCATCGTGAAACAAGTGGGGTCGTGCTAAATCAGGATTTTGTAAAGATACACTTAAAATATTAAAAGTTATTAGTATATAAGCTATAATGAGGTTATGGCTACGAGGTCGGTCCCAGGGACTGAGCCCGTGTCGAAAGAGTTAATGACCCATCGCGTTATATCCAAATTCGCAATTAATCGGGGCACGTAAAATCGGGGTTTCACTGTAATAATTTTAATTATGTTAAAATTATTGAAGAATTTTGCTTTACATAAAATTTTAGTGGCTAGACATACTTATAAGTTTTTTTTTCCTATAATGATTTTTTATTTTTATTACACTTTATTGTGGTTTGTACAAAAAATAAATGGTTAAAATTAATATTTACTGCCCACAGCTTACTGAATTACTCTCTTGCATTATTATGAGTCAGTGAACTATGTTTTCGTTGTAACTGTTCTCGACTGAATGTCTGTGGGGTAAAGAAGAACATACTTTTGTTCCTCATCCTCAACTGGATTTTTCTAACCTGCTTTATTATTTCCTTCAGTTTATGTTTTCCACACAAAAATATAATAGTGCTGTTTAAGTTTTATTAAAATTATCCAAACAGTTAATAATTTCATTATTACTCACAGAACTGAAATGCTTATGTTACCAAGGTGATGGTGGTGTTCCGTTACCAAGGTGATGGTGGTGTTCCGTTACCAAGGTGATTTGGACTGCTTCTCTTCAAAATATGTGCACATAAAACAAGGAGAGAATCTATATAAGGCTCTTCATATCATAAGCATATTTAAAGAAACAAAGTCAGACTAGGTCTATTGAATACGTTCCATAATTAAGGCACCTTTACCTGACTAGTTATTGAACATCAAATGGGTTTGTTGTGGACATATACATTTTATTATGTTTTGTTAAATTCATAAGTCTGTTTACAAAATGTTCACTTGAAGATTGATTGATTCTGCATGAAATGATGTCAGATTCCATTTGGTGACTTTGGAATTATTGCGATTTTTCAGTAAAACTCAGTATCGTGGCACCATTCTAAAGAAAAACTGCATCACTAAAGTTTTACAGGTTGATTTAGTCAACTCTAAAGTTCTATGATGAGAGAAATGTCCAGGTTATTCTAGATAATCAACGGTTCACCTTTCCTACTTCACTATTCAAACCTATCTTTATAAGGAGAGTAAGACCACCAATATTCTAAACCAGTGTAACCAATCATAGCTCACAGTTTACATGCTCACAATCATTCGTTTGAAATCTCCAAAATATTTGAGAAACTCAAGGAATGATCTCTGAGGAACAAAATAAACTACTGGAACTGATGTAACTCTGAAATGATTTTATTTAAACACGCTAACTGCTAAACCCATAGCGAGTTTTAATAATCCCCAACCTAAAAACAAAAGCTTAGATTTAAATACACACATAAAACCAAAAATACACTATATGAAGTTTCTTTAAAGCAGATTATCTATGAAAACATTATTTCAGAGTAGCCTATAAGGCAGTGATGAAGATGGCTGATAACAGAATAATATACAATCAGAAACTATACTTACAACGGGTTAGTCTACTTTTATCTCACTAATTAGAAGTTAAGTTTGAGCTATTGCACACAGTGAAAATTAAAAATTATTGTATAAAAATCCTGGAAAATGTTTCAAGAAATTGTGAATGATCAATAAAAAAGCAGATATCCTAAATAGAATAAATAGTAAAATCAAAACAACTAACTGGAGATATTGAAAAAAGATACAGACACAAGGTTTAACATTTTGTTGGCATCATTGGGTAAATTGGTAAAAATACACGTGTGATGTTTGAATGATATAAATGGAGGGAGACTCCAGGTTATTATTAAACTGTTTGAGGAAAATATTTTTAAAAATTCTCAATCTTCACTTGTCTATCTCGCGTGTCGTGTCTTGGCTTCTATTTTTGCTTTTCAGAATTTTAACATCAAAAAATAGGTGATGAGTCTTTCAACCAGTTAGAAACACAAACTACACATAATTTCAAGAAAGAATTTAAAATTTTAACCTCCTACCTTCTTGATTTGCTGAAATATCAATAAATTTGTCAAAATTATAAGAGAAGCCATTCTTATATTTTCATGCATTTAATGTCAGTTATCTAAATCACAGCTACTTGTTTGTTGGATGTTTTTATAACCAATAGAAAGAGAATGTTATGATGTACAAATATATTAAGACCAGTTAAAGGTGGTAGTTTTCAAGAAAAACTTGATGTGTGTTGAGTGAGGTCCTAGCAGTAACAGAATTTTTTTTTAAACCTATTTATAGCTAAATTAGAAAGCCAGATAAATTACAGAGGTTTCGAGACATTCTGTTCTAGTGCTTGATAGATAGGTAACTAAAATGTAAAAGTGAAAAACTTGTATTAGGTAACAAAAATAAAAATAAACTTGATCGGTTTTTTTACTTTATTTCTGGGGGAGAAGCGGGTATGGGTTATTGCTGTGATTTATTGCTTTTCACAGAGTAATAAACCGGCAATAAAACATTAACAATTAAAAGAAAACAAATGTGAAAAGATTAACAGTTGAAATTGGGAAGATGATTAAATTGAAGATCGGGTAACAAATGATGCATTTGAAGGAGAAGAAAAACGGTATTGTTTATTTTATTTTTAACTTTTTATTTCATTGTACATTGGTGAATTTTGCTGCAGTTACTGTTAAAGTAGAAAAATAACGGATAAAATATAAATTTTTTACCAAAATATTTGCTTAGGAGGTTCTAGAAATATGAAAAACTGTAAAATGTATATAAGCATTTCTATCCTTAATACAAAAATTTAATAAGTTATTCTTAACGTGAAAAATCACCATTTATTCAGACTGACTCTGTAAAGGCTTCATAAATTGACCGAAAAATATTTTGAAATACTTCATTAAAAAACTACCAATCCAAACAAGAAATTTGGTAAGTTCATCCAACAGAATGCATACAGGTAGTCGTAACTAATTTATTAATTTAGAATTAATCACTTATTTTGAACCCAGGGCTATGGAAGAAAAGTGGAAAGCTGCTCTTTCTTGGTTTGGACAATTCTGGTAAAACAACATTACTGCACATGCTCAAGGATGACAGGATGGCTCAGCACGTGCCAACCCTTCATCCAAGTAAGTGTTCATGTATCAATGGTGTAATTCAAATTTTCAGGATGGCTCAGCACATGACAACCCTTCATCCAAGTAAGTGTTCACGTATCAATGCCATAATTCAAATATTCAGGATGGTTCAGCACATGACAACCCTTCATCCAAGTAAGTGTTCATGTATCAATGCCATAATTCAAAGGTTCAGGATGGTTCAGCACATGACAACCCTTATCCAAGTAAGTGTTCACGTATCAATGCCATAATTCAAATATTCAGGATGGCTAAGCACATGACAACCCTTCATCCAAGTAAGAGTTCACGTATCAATGCCATAATTCAAATATTCAGGATGGTTCAGCACATTACAACCGTTCATCCAAGTAAGTGTTCATGTATCGATGCCATAATTCAAATATTCAGGATGGCTAAGCACATGACAACCATTCATCCAAGTAAGTGTTCATGTATCAATGCCGTGATTCAAATTTTGTGAAGATGATTGGTACAAGATGTGTTTATCATGCACGAACAATAAAATTGACTTTAAAGAAACTGTTAAAACACTAAATTTTTTTCTTCCCTTAATTTCTTAAATGATCTCCTCTAACCACAATGTCCACAGTGAACGTAAAAAAAAGGGATTTTGAAATTTTAAAATATATTCTTTAATGTGATATCGTCTGTACCGTAATGATGGGATAGAAATACTTTAGACAAAATATTTTTATGTTGACGTATGTATCTTACGTTAACATGACAAAATCAGACTACGAAAATATTAATATTCACTTGTTTTTATCGTGATTTTAATAAAGTTGTCATCCATTATGCTTTCAGCATCTGAAGAATTAAGCATAGGAAATATGAAATTTACAACATTTGATTTGGGAGGCCATCACCAAGGTAATACATTTTATCTTCAGTTTTTTATTCAGATATTGTTGTATCTAAGTTCTATTATCTTTATATTGTTTGCTTTTGTGTGACTGATAATTCACAAATAATGCAGTTAGCATATCAGTTTTGCTTATGGTAGAATAGTTAGCACACATATTCTCCTAAAGAAGAATAGTCAGCTATTCAAAAGTGCTCAAGTTTCGGGCCGTTTTTTAAATTTAAGTGTTGTTAATGAATACTGCTTTCATGAATAGCAAAATATTATCAGAAGTTAATTTTCTACCATATTGGAAGCCATGTTAGGGTTAGCAGTGAAGAACACTAAGTGTTAGGGTTAGCAGTGAAGAACACTCTAAGTGTTAGGGTTAGCAGTGAAGAACACTCTAAGTTGGATGTATAAGGGGACAAGTGTTCGTTCAGACTATTATTTAAATTTGGTGCATTTTCATGTTTTTATACTCTATCTACATACTTACCCATTTTCTTACAAAAGTGTTTTTGTTACACATATGGGGTGCTGGTTGATTGTGGATTTTGGAGCTGGATTTGAATCCATGAGATACTACAATTTATTCAGCACAGTTTAAACAATAGGTGTTTTTTAAGAGTGACAGTCAATCAAGGTGTTGCTAACTTGTCAGTAATTAGGGATGTTGTCAGATAGCCTTAGTTGCTTTGCCATAAATACAAAACTGTGAATGTGTTACAAGTACAGTGATATTAAACCTATCTCGTATGTTACGTGTAGTGGTGCATTATTAATAACAAGTGTTAGTCAAGGTTACACACACACACACACAGTTTACAAGCTGTTTATGTGAGACATTTACATCTGCTGAGTATGACAGACAGTTTTCAGTTATTTCTCAAGGTATGAAATCTTCCATAAGTATAAATCTCCCTGTACTTTATATTGTAAACGTATATTGTAAACTGGCATAAGTTTTATACTGTTTTTGCTTTATTTTGAAATCATGGGCAGTTTTTTATGAAATCAGAGTCAAAGCAGTAAGAAGTATTTTGATTGGTCACTGAAGCACTTTGTTAAGAAAAGAAAAATTACAGGTGTTTTTTTGTTGTTTTTTTAGCACCACCTAGGCTTAATTTTAAAAACTTTATAGAAAATATTAATATATTTAACATATACTGGGAAGGATATGATTGTGTTTTATGACACAATTGAAGAATATATGGTGTGATTTTTGTCAACTTGAACAAGGAAGAAAACGCTAGCTAGTTTATTCGGACAGGGGATGAGTGTAGAAGTAAGGAGCACAGTATGTATATTTACACAGAAAGCTGAAATTGAACTTATTACAAGTTTCATAATCTGTATATTAATTTCTCTTGTGTACCACAGTTGGAAAATCCCTGATGTAGGTAATTGTGCATTGTTTGGTATGTGATAAACAATGTGTCACATGCTATCTTATAAATTACTGAGTTTTGATTATTAATTTTTCTGTATCAAAACAGTTGCCTTTTTATGTATTCCTTCATTGCTGTTAAGTGTTGAATTGTTAAAATAAATTCTGTGGGATCGTTGCTGCATATTTTCGTGACTTCTGTTTTTGTGAATGTATGGATTATGCATGTATTGGGAACATGAATATATGGATTATGTATTGGGAACATGAATATATGGATTATGTATGTATTGGGAACATGAATACATGGATTATGTATGTATTGGGAACATGAATGTATGGATTATATATGTATTGGGAACATGAATATATGGATTAATTCATGTTCCCAATACATACATACATAATCCATATTTGGGAACATGAATATATGGATTATGTATATATTGGGAACATGAATATATGGTTTATTGATTAAATATCCTGCTGTGAGAATGGTCTACAAGAAATTATCCAAATTTTGGATAATCAGATTTTCAACATCTGGACTAATAAGGGTTTAACGTATTACATGTAGTCTTGGCTCAGATTATTTTGTCTGCTGAGAGTTTAGAATTTATGTATATCATTTCTCCTTCTTTGTGTTTTGCAGCCAGAAGAGTTTGGAGAGATTACTTTCCCGCTGTTGATGCAATCGTTTTTCTAATTGATGCATTTGACAGAGAAAGGTTTTCGGAATCAAAAGTGGAACTGAATGTAAGTGATCTTGTTGTGATTTGATTTTACCATTTACAGAATCAACTCAACAAAAAATACATCTTAGGGTTAAATAAGTTCAGTTCATCAATAAAAACGAAAATTGTTAAAATATATTTGGTTCTGAACTCTTCTTGGACTGACTGGATGTTTAAAGCTGGTTGTAATTTATAAAAGGCACATGTTTGAAATCTGTACACTGCCGAGGGGAAATGAACCCCCTGATTTTAGTGTTGTAAGTCTGTAGATTTACCACTGTCCTACTGGGGGACTGCTCTAAAGAATATTTAAAGTTTTAGTATACATTTTTTTCATTTAGTTACAAGTCTTTAAAAATATTTAGTTTCATCAAGCTTCAAAACGTAAAATACTCTGAAAGTAAAAAACTATCAGAACTTTTTTGTTGCACTTGGGATCATGTTGATATTTGAAGGATGGACTTTCTATTCCATTGATTCTTTTGGGATTGGGGGATGACTCACAGACCTATTAAGAATCAAAACAAGATGTTCAGTTTATAATCTTACATAATTTGGCCACATCCAATCTAATGATTTGATAAAATTGCATGTTTTACCAGTTTTCAAAAACACCCAATTTTCATCAAAATAATCAAGATTCGACTCTCACTGTTGCTACAAATTTTAAGATTATAAAATATGTAGTGTTCATTTAATTTCATAACTTTCTGAACTCTAGGTCCAAATAACTGTGCTAATATCTGAAACAATAACCCCTAAATGTATTATGACTCTCGGACTATCTAGTCACTCGTGCTTCTTAGTTTACAACCTATCTTATATACAGTACGTACAAATTTGGGTCGCTTGTGTTGTTGCTCGTGGATGGGATGAGGACACCTCAAAAGATGGACACGAATAATTACCAGTGATCATGTCCAGTAGTGGAACACTGGAATATCAGCATGGTCAGTAGTTAATAACATTCCTAGTGAGCACATCCCTGCTAAATCTGACACAATACAATTATAGTATAGCGATATATTATCCGTTATGACAATAAGTTGACAACCAGGGCCGATAACGGTATAGCGATATTTAATTCATTATAATGCTGATTTTATTGCCTATTAAGAATTAATATATTCAATAGTTTGTAAGCTGTTTATTTATATATATATATACAGTATAATAAAGTGATATTTAGGTGAGCTTTATTTTTTAAAAAAGGCCAAATTGATAAAATTCAGTATTTTTTTCTAATCAGTAAGTAGTAAAATTAACAATAATGTGACTTGTACTTACTCTTTTTTGCATATTTTGAGTTCTTAACCTTCAAAAGCTGTCATAAAACACAACATGATCTTGAAAGATTCAATATTAGTAAACAGTCACATTTCAAATAAAGTGGTTTTGACAGTTACAAGTTACAATACATTTTTAAATCATGGTAATTTTATAGCATTGACAAATTACATTATTGTGTAGTACCATACAAAAATGTTTTAGTTGAGAAAGAAATACACTGCACTATCATTACAACATCTAAAATAAGGACTTTATAAGGGAGAGCAAAAATGTCTGAAACTGTCTTGTACAAAAAAATATATGTTGAATTTTGCACTGATACTTCACCTTAAAAGTAGCATTCTTGAACACCTGCCGTAAAAGATATATGTTGAATTTTACACTGATACTTCACCTTAAAAGTAGCATTCGGAAACACCTGCCGTAAAAATATATGTTGAATTTTACACTGATACTTCACCTTAAAAGTAGCATTCTGAAACACCTGCCGTAAAACATATATGTTGAATTTTACACAGATACTTCACCTTAAAAGTAGCATTCATGAAACACCTGCCGTAAAAGTTATATGTTGAATTGTACACTGATACTTCACCTTAAAAGTAGCATACGTGAAACACCTGCCGTAAATGTAGGCCCGTTCATTATTATGTATATATAAGTGATTTAAAAATAGTGTGAGATATACTCAAGAGTATGTCCTAGTATAAAGAAGTGTAACATCATTCACATCTGTATGTGAGAAATGTAACATCATGCACATCTGTATGCTGTCGACTGTTTGGTTTTCTTGTCCTTGGCCAAACATTACCCAGTGGTTAGTGTGCCAGACTGTAGGTGTGAGGTTCTGTGGCTTGCATCCTGTAACTGACAGTTAAAACCCACTATTCAAATAGAGTAGCCCAAGAATTGATTGTGGGTGGTATTGACTTACTGCTTTTCCTCTAGTCTGAGGCCCGGTATGGCCTGGTGATTAAGAAGCTTGATTCGTGATCTGAGGGTCACGGGTTTTAATCTCTGTCACCAAATGTACTTGCCCTTTCAGCCTTTGGAGGTGTTCTAATGTGATGGTCAATCCCACTATTCATTGCTAATAGAGCAGCCCAAGCGTTGGTGGTGGGTGGTGTTAACTAGCTGCCTTCCCTCTGGTCTGTGACTGCAAAATTAGGGACGACTAGCTCATGTAGCTTTTTTTGGGAAATTGAAACCAAACCTCAAAGGGCTAGTGCAAAAAAACCTTTATAGTATCTTTACACAAAACGCAGAGCATGGTGTGTTGTCCTTCTTGCATGTTTAATTTTTTACAGCTAATTTTACTTCATCTATAAACTTAGTTGTATTTCTCTTTGGATGTATATTTATTTCATGTCAGTTAATTCTGTTGAAATTAATATAACACTTGCTTGTCTTTCCATGTTGTATTAAACATCAACCATAAGAAAAACATTAATGAAAAGGAGAATTTAATTCTAGTCTCAAGATAAATGCACCTGTGTAATCTGTTTGTTTTACAATTTTTGTACACGGGGACCATCTGTACAGAGCCATCCATAATTTTGAATTGATAGACTAGAGGAAAAGCAGCTAGTCAACAGCATCCATTATCAACCATTTGTCTGCTCTTGTCTGATTGAAGAGTTGTATTTGACTGTCACTTTTGTGGCATATCCAACCGTATAGGATGTCTGAGGGAAGCCCGTAAGGCAAAATATTTTGGGGCCACGTCCACAACCATGCAGCCATGAGGTGTTTCCACTTGCCCGTGACTTACAGACGTATCACAAATCATGCGTCCATCCTTGTCCATCCTTTTTTCTCATACTGTAGATTTTTAATGATTCGGAATATCGTACATGATACTCAACGGTTGTGTGGTTGAAGATTTTTTAAATGACTAGATTTACAACATTCAACCAATTAAATATCATGATGATGTTTTTCTGGCCAAATTGAAATACAAAATTTATAAATATTTACATTATAAAACAACATATATATATTTAAAAACTTGCTCCCATGATTTGCGGAATGAAATACAAGCTATTGTACAACACTTACGGGTGTTTTTAATTGGATTTGATCGGAGGAAACAAGATATTAAAGTTTATCTATGTCAGTTGAAAAGTTTTCTTGATGATGTATTGCCAAAGATTTTTTCTTTCATCTTCTATTTGTAGAAGTAATTTTAGGAAACGGGTCCTAATCAAGATTGAGGGGGGATAAAAATAATCTCCTGACATTGCATTCAAAGAAACTTAAACGTTTACGATTTCTTATTTGTTCTCGAAAAATATAACTTTGTGAAAACTATTTGGACAAGGAATGGTACGTGACGATCTGTGGATCTCGAGCTATTCTGAATATGAGGTTTTCAGCACTGTTGTGAAATGGATCTCATTAGATTAGATAATTCGTACAGGTTTTTGTATTTTAGCTTTCTAGATCTATTATGTCATGAAATTTAGATTATTAACTTCTGCCCCCCCCAGTGGCACAGCGGTATGTCTGCGGACTTACAACGCTAAAAACCGGGTTTCGATACCCGTGGTGGGCAGAGCACAGATAGTTCATTTAGCTTTGTGCTTAACTTCAAAACAACAACAACAACAACTGTTTATTAACTTCTACCAGAACAGTTACTAAACATCTTAATGTTCCTCACTGAATGTAAGAGCCATAAGAACAGTCAGCTTGTCGTAGACGTAGCTATCTTTATGTATATTTTCTTCTTGAACTGTATACCATGTAAAATAAACTATGCACATCTCTCTTGATATTGCCCAGAGTTTGTTAACAGACGAACAGTTAGCCAATTGTCCTGTGCTTGTTTTGGGAAATAAAATTGATAAACCCGGAGCAGCTAGTGAAGATGAGCTGAGAGCTTATTTTGGACTGTTTGGACTGACAACAGGAAAGGTAATTATTTTTTCATCTGCTGTGTAGTATTAAACAATTTGCTTGTTTGTATTTGGGTTAAGAATGGACAGGGTTTTCATGTTTATTTTTAAATTGATGCCTTAATAGAGTTGGTGTGTAGATAACCATACATTCATTTTATGGTATAGTTACCTGATTTAATATACTTACATGCTAAGGGTTCCATATTATAGTTTCACAATTTCATCAACTGAAAGCATTCTGTTACATTTATGAAACATTTTACTTGCGATTTTTGTTGAAAACGAGTTTGTTTAGTAGCAAAACATAAATTTAATTACACTTTCTCACTTCTTGCATCAAATTGTGTTTTACTTAATCTTACTGGAATGCAATAATAAAGTTAAACCTTTTCTAAAAACCCCACCATCACCACACACTTTTTTTTGCATACAAATCACTTGCTGGTTTGGTTCTTTGTGTTTGTTCCATATTATGTAATTTTCCATATAGTATAACCAAGCCAGCATTTCTGTTGGTCCACTTTAGATTAATTGTGTGTGTGTTGGATTATG